TGGAGCTGGAGCAACATCACCTGCGTGGGAGAGATAGCAGCCACAGGCTGCTAGCAGCAAACTTGAAAGATGCAAAACGACGTGAATGGGCACATGCATGCATGATTTGACACTCACTGCAACCGAAGCTTTTTTTTCTCCCCGGAGAGCAGAAGGTGTCCAGCCACCAGCTTGGCCAGGTTTCCCCAAGGCTTGAAACGTGTTTCAGGAAAGATCGCGAGCAAGCGTACGTTGCTCTAACCCAGCAGGCCCAGAACTATGCTTGCATAGTTCAGGCTGCAGATTCCTCTTGCTTCTTGACAGACCGACAGCATCCTGCAGCGAACTCCTGCGACAAAACACGGGATGACAGTTCACTTACCGAAGCTGGGCACACAAACTCCACATGCACTGTGATCATGCTCTGCAGCGCTCCTCCTTCGACAGATAATTGAAGTAGGAACGTGTGATGTCCTGCCCATATGAACGGTCCAGTCACATCACATATAGAGTTCTGTCACAGAAATCTATATGTCATGTGAACGGATCGTACAAGTGAACATGTCCTTCATCGCGTCCACCCAGGTATCCTCGGGCACTTGGTCATCGATCTTCTTCAACTCCTGAAGCACAAGCAAGACATGAAGCAAACATGAAAGCGCATCCCAACCTCATGTTATGCCTGTTATGCATAATATGCCATCAAGTTGCGACCCATTTTGCATCCATCTCGGCTTTCGCTTTTGTCAAATCCTCCATGGCCTTCGAAGAAGCCGCGTGCCCTTGCAGCTGCAAGGCAATCTTGGCCATTTGCCCTGCCTCGCTGATGCATGTTCTGAATCGATGAGAGATGACATCTGATCATGGGGCCTGCAAATCTTACCACATGTTTCAACCAAGTTGCCTTCCCGAGCATCACTGAGGAAAGCAACTCCTTTGTGGCTGCCCGGTCCACCAAGGGGAATGCCCCGGTCAGACTGGAAATCTTGGCCTTCCGAACATCGAAGACGGCCTTCGGATTTTCGCCGCCTTTCTTCTTGCCAGCTTTGGCCTTCGCTTTGGCTTTCGCCACACCATCTGCACCTCCTACAAGCTCGGACTCCAAAACATGAGAGCGATTGACGTCTAGGCATTGCAAGATACCCCCGAATGCAGGAGCCGCAAGGCCTGCAGGCGTCTCCTCCCCCGGCGTAGCTGC